GGCGCGGCAGGATTTTCTGTCGGCTGCATTTAAATCCGCGTCTGAAGTTTCCCGCTCTGTTCAGCGTGCAGTATCACGTGTCTAAACAAATAGCACGTGCTGTCAGTGATTTCAACCACTAGAGGCCGCTCTCGCACTGTGTAATGACAGCAGACCCTTCTCAGCCGCTCCAGCAACGGACGCAACCCGGAAAACTATCGGCATGGATTTTTGTCGATAACCGATAGTTCCAGCAATCAACTATCGGTGCCGATTAATCGGCAAAACCGATACATCGGTCGACCTCTAATTGTTACTATATGCACAATCAGTATCTATAAATCAAATAGTTTTATATTTCTCCTTCATTTTTATTTCATTATTTTCACTCGCAATGCTTCATGGGATTGTTCTTCTTTCCCTTCATTAATATTGTTAAGTTTGCGGTCTTGCACCTTTGTTTTGATCAGAGTCTAACTTTAATTCATTCAATTAAAAAACGTGCTATTTTAGTAATATAAAAAAAGAAGAATCATTATTGTGAAAAGCTTCAAAAGTAAAATGGAATTACAGTATAAGATAAAATGTGTTTAACTGCCATTAAACACAATTAAAAATGACTATAATTATCACTACTCTTAATGCTCTTGAAAATAAGCTCAATTTTCTCAATGCAAAATATTAAGAAAATATAAAAAATTTACATTTTACATTTATAAATGTATATTAAAATTTATATTTATATTTTTCATTTTCTTTTACTGTAATGTGAAAATAACCATGTTTTTATTTTATTTTTATATCATAGTAATATTTGTTTTAATAACAATATTTTTTGCTTATTTCAGTGCTATTTTAGTAATATACATATACAGTATATACATATATATTGTGTGTGTGTATATAAATTGTCCTAATTTGTAAGTCGCTTTGAATAAAAGTGTCTGCTAAATGACTAAATGTAATGTAAATGTAATATCTTCACACAATGCAAAAAATCATTACTATTCTTAATGTTCCTAAAAAAGGCGTAATTGTCTTAATGCAAAATAATAAAAAGTACAAAATATAGTTTGCATACATTTTTTTAGTTTTCAGCTAAAATAATGGTTTTAGTTTTAATTTATATATCATGGTAATATTCTTTTTAATAACTTTCATTAATCTTATTTAAATGTTATTTCAGTTAAAAAAACTAAAACAGAATTACAATAATGTAATATAAGGTAAAATGTGTTCAATTGCCATGAAAACACAATGAAAAAAAAATAGGTGTAATTTTCTTAATACAAAATAATAAATTAATAAATCTCCCTGAATTATTCATAGGTGCATCAGTTAAAAGTCCTTGAACCTTTGATTATCTGAAATCGACGGTAGTTTAATCAGAATGAACAAAACACATTGTCATTCTGTCTCATTGAAAACGCAATCACAAAATGTGACGTTAAAATGCAGAAGACGCAGAGTCTGACGGCTCTGAGGGGAGTCATCTCACGTCGCGACAGATGGAGAATCACTCCGACGGAAACTCGTACGGCGGTGGTGTTTTTGTGTTTTCTGACCTCTGGTGGACCGTTACAAGACTTTGGGCGGCAGTTAGCGACGCTCGGGCCTTTTCTCGCCGCTGTTTGTGATTTAATTGAGCACAGATGGTACATAATCTATTTTCCTGTCTACATGCCACGTCTCTAATGGTGTCAAGCCTGTTCGATGCAAATGAGAGTTTGTGGCTTTAGTTTTGCGAACTGTGAATTGTGAACGTGAAACCCATCTGATGCAGAAAATTCTCTATTGTTTGTCCAAAATGAAAATGCATTGACTAAAATTGGTTTTGCATGAACTATGGCGGCAGTTGCGCTCTATACCTGTCAATCATAACACATACAGACAGGTTTTAAACACTATAGGCCATAAATGTCTCATAAACACGTGAAGGGTAGATTTATAGTCTTTTCCACATACATGTCAAAAATGTTAATGCAGTAATTCACTGACCTTCAATGTCCAGCTGTTATTACTCACTGAGCATGTGAATAAAGTCTTTCTGTCTTTCTCAAGCTCTTTTCCAAAGCCCTTGTGAGACGCTGCTCTATGAAACTGAAATACACCCTCAAAAGTAAGGGTTTGGAACACTACATAGGCAGCATATCTGCTCATTAGAGATTTACATTAGTGTGTTGCTAAGCTAGCAATGCAATACTTAAAAAATAAGCATAGAAATGAACAGAAAAGACAAATATTGGGTAAAATAATCAATTTATAATTAGATTAGACTGTTTTTTGGTAGTTTGTGGTATTTAATGAAATATATTTAAAAACAATGTTTTTAAAAACAATGCCAATTGAGTTTAGATTCTGGCAATGACTTTTCTGCAAAGAATACATAAGACGTTAACTAAAACTATTAATACTGTTTTGTTAATTGAAATAAAGCCAAAATAAAATACATTAGATAAAAGACCTAATATAAAAGATAATTAGATAAAAGTCATAATTATACGAAAAAAATCTAAATGTTAACATACTGGGTCATAATTATGAGATAAAAAGTCATAATTATAAGATAAAAAGTCACAATTGAGAAAAGGTCAAATTATGAGATAAAAGTCATAATTACAAGAAAGAAGTCAAAATTATGACATACTAAGTCACAATTATGAGATAAAAAGTCATAATTGAGAAAAATCTAAATTATTAGATAAAAAGTCATAATTATGAGATAAATGTGAGAAAAGGATCAAAATTATGGCATTAATAATTATGAGATAAAACGTCATAATTATAAGAAAAAAGCTCAAATTGATATACAAAGTCATAATTATAAGATAAAAAGTCACAATTGAGAAAAGGTCAAATTATGAGATAAAAGTCATAATTACAAGAAAGAAGTCAAAATTATGACATACTAAGTCACAATTATGAGATAAAAAGTCATAATTGAGAAAAATCTAAATTATGAGATAAAAAGTCATAATTATGAGATAAATGTGAGAAAAGGATCAAAATTATGACATTAATAATTATGAGATAAAACGTCATAATTGAGAAAAAGCCAAATTATGATGTAAACAGTCATAATTATGAGATAAAAGGCATAAATGTGAGAAAAGGGTCAAAATTATGACTTACTAAGATATAATTATGAGATAAAAAGTCATAATTGAGAAAAGCCCAATTGTGAGATAAAAAGTCATAATTACTGTATGAGATAAAAAGTCAGAAATGTGAGAAAAGGGTCAAAATTATGACACACTAAGTAATATTTATAAGATAAAAAGTCATAATTGAGAAAAAGCCAAATTATGAGATAAAAAGTCATAATTACTGTATGAGATAAAAAGTCATAAATGTGAGAAAAGGGTCAAAATTATGACATACTTAGATATAATTATGAGATTTTAAAATTCAGTTATGACATACCAAGTCATAATTATGAGAAAAAAGTTTGTTTTTATGACATACTTAGATATTTACATTTAGTCATTTAGCAGACGCTTTTATCCAAAGCGACTTACAAATGAAGCAATCAAAACCAACAAAAGAGCAAGTCTCAGTTAGCTTAATGCAGTGCATGCAAAATATAAAAAGAAAATAGAAAATCTGAACTGAAATAAGCTTAAGTTAGTGCGTTAAAATTACTAACTGTAAATAAATAAAAACTAAAACAGAAATAAAAAATAAACCTAAAAAGCAACATAATAGGTAATAAAAATGACAAAAGCAGACAACAAAATGACAAAAAATGTCAGCAGAATGAGTTGTGAAGTGCTGTCTGTGTCGGCGGCTCACGAGCGTCTGTCTGTCTCTCTGCTCTGCATTAATAACCTTACAGATGTAACGATGCCTCAGCATGTCTCTCTCTCTCTCTCTGTGCATGTTTGGCTGGATCTCTTCTCTTGTTCTAGCTGCCATTATTGTGACTCAGCTCACCACGCCGTATGTGCGTATCGCACCCGCTGCCGGCGACAGCCAACTAACAGGTCAGAACTTCCACCATCCACCTCGCTCTGTGTGTGTGTGTGTGTGTGTTAAACCATGCCTGTTTACTGTTTCCTGGCCATGTCCAGATCATATTTCACTCCAAAATTTAAAAAAAAAGGAAAGAAATTATATTATTATATTTATTATTTCATATTTATATTTATGTAATTTAATATTTTTCGATTTTTATTGTTGCATTTTGCATAAAGATTTTGCATTTTCCACAAATTTTCATTACGGTAATGTGAATTTTTTATTAAGTTTTTTATTATTAAGTTTTATTGTTATATTTCCATAAAATGTAGCATTTTAATTAAATTGTTATTAAAATAATGTGAAAATAACAATATTAAGTTTTTCAATTGGTTTATATATCATGGTAGTATTTGTTATGCTGCCCTACATGTATTCTGATTTTTTTTAAATAATCGTTTATTAATGATTTTAATGACAGTAATGAGAATCGTTGACAAGAAATTGACCAAAATAAATAAACAAGCTAACAAACAAAAAAACTCAAACGTAAAATATCTGGATGCATTAGTAAAAAATTGTTAATTTTCTTGAAAATAATGTCACAATAAAAATACATTAAAAAAAATAAACAAGCATAAAAATATATATATTTTTTAATTTCAATCGCTATTCGTAATGTTCTTATGCTAAATATATTTTTCACATTTTTTATTTTAATTTTTAGGGTGAAATGTGAGCTAGATTTTCGTGTTTATGTTTTCATGTCTGTGTAAGTTTCTTTTTTTATGTAGTGCAATATGCTATATTTCAGTATTTCTTCCATGTGTATCAGTGTAGCCCGTGACTGTTGTGTAAAGCAGTGTTTGTTGAGTCGTTTTAGTCCTGAATGGATGCAGGTTGAAAAGGTAATTGAGGATTTTCAGGGTTACCGTCCGTCTGATGAGCTTCATTTGATCCCTGCTGTTTGCTTCCTGTAGAAGGTCACTTTCCATTAGCTGAATCTATACGCTGAATACACGCATTTATTGTGGAAAATAAACACCGGAGCAGGAGTCTCTAAATTAGCTCCGTTTTATTCAGCACCGATGTCCGTCGAAGGAATCAATATGACCCCGGCAAACCCGAAACCAAAGACCGCGGCATTTGCAATGCATGACAACCACATCCCGTCAGAAAATTACATTTCAATATTTACTGTTTGTTGAACAGTCCCAGGTGACGCTCTCATTCTACAGACGAACAGTAAAGAGAAAATTGGCTTGTTTTTAATTAAACCTTATATAAACACATCTTCAGATCACTCGCCCCTTTAGCCCATTACTGAATCATTGTGCATGATCATGGATTCAGTGCCGCATTTAATTCTGTTCCTCTAAATGTTTGCATGTTTGTTTGTGAGCGAGACATCTGAAGCGAGGCTGTTTATGCCATATTCGTCGTCCTCTTCGACCCCGCGCTGCAGCCCGCGGCCCGTCTTCAAACACTCTCTCTCGCCTCCATCCAGACTGAAGAAACTCAGACTCCAGAATGCAAATGAGCATCATGACAATAACAAAAGCCTAGGGAGATGTATGCACTTATGCTAATAATTGTACTCGATTTCTTTTTTCGTTTTCGGTCCAGAACTCTTGCGTTTTCATGATTTGCAGAATAAGGCGACAACATTTATATTGAAGTCGATATTGTTTCCATACAGTGGTTTTGTATGGAAGCTTATTTCTGCCACATGAGAGAAAAATCATGCATTGGTAAATCATAATTATGAGGCAGAAGAATCAAAATTATGGCATGACAATTAAGTCATGATTATGAGATAAATCATAATTTTAGTATTAGAAGTAACAATTATGAGATAAAGTTTAAATTATGGCACGAAAAGTTGAAAATATGAAAGTATAAAGTCAAAATTAAGACATGCTAAGCAATACTTGAGATAAAAAGTTTAAATTATGACATAAATTGAAAATTATAAGATGAAAACTCAATTCTGACATAAAAATCATAATTATGAGATGAAAATTTTAATTGACTTAAATCGAAATTATGGCACGAAAAGTTGAAAATATGAGGTATAAAGTCAAAATTAAGACATTGAAATTGTGACAAAAAGTGGAAATGAGATATGAGATGAAACCTCAAATTATGATTATATGATTATAATTATGAGATAAAAAGATGGAGTTATGAGCTAAAAAGTCATAATTATGAGATAAATGGTTGAAATTATGGCATGAAAAGTTGAAAATATGAGATATAAAGTAAAATTATGACATACTAAGCAGTAATTGAGTTGAAATTGTGACAAAAGTGGGAATTATGAAATAAAAGTCATCAAGATAAAGTCATTATTAGATAAAAAGTTGAAATTATAGCATAATAAGTCAATTCTGAGATAAGTCATAACTGTGACAAAAAAGTCCTAATTATGAGATAAAAAAAGTTTGAATTATGACATGTCAAAATTACGAGATAAAAAGTAATAATTATGGCATAAAAAGACATGAGAAGTTAAAATTATGACAAAAATAGAAATTATGGCATTAAAAGTCATAATTATGAAAAAATTAGTGCTGTCAAAATTAGCGCGTTAACACAGGCGATTGATTTTTTACAGTTTAACGCGTTAAAAATATTTAACGCAGGGGCGGGGCCAGGGTTCGCCGCTCCACTCACAACTGCTGTTTCTGTCACTTTTCTCTTGACAAGAAGTGCATTTATTCAGTCGCAGAACGTCTTTATGATCACATCAAACCGGAGACGTTTCAGACGCACGCTCCAACTTCACTTCAGCGCCAGGCGCGAGTCAAACGAGTACTGTTCTCGCAGCGCGTGCGCTTCAATTGCACGCACAAAGACACCGGTGTGCTGTAGCCTTTATCATTTCATATCAAAGAGCGAAATAATCTACGTGCATGTCAGTGCACCTACGTGTGCATCTACGTGTCAGTTAAGTCATGAAGTTACCAAAAAGGCGATTAAAGCTGCCTTAAAACTGTGCATGCATGTAATATATTTTATATGAGTCACATTTAAGAACATGTCTCTGAAATGGTTTTCAAAACTGTCCTGGAGCAGCCCAGCACTGTCTCCCTCATCTAACACACCCGATTCAACTCGTCAGTTCATTAATAGAGACTTTCAGACCTGAAGTGAGACAGAAACGGTAAAGAGAATTGTGAGAAAATACGATGCGTGTCAGATCCGCGTCATGTTCAGTAAATGTTAAAATTGATAGCTATCAATTATACTGTAATGTTGAAAGGCTATAGTCAATGGTTAAATATTGGGGGGAAAAGCAATTTTATAGAGACATCAGTAGTATTGGTATCAGTGATACTGGCATTCAGTCATAAAAAAAGATGCCATTAAACAAATATGAAAAAATATACTGTCTTTATGTTGTTTGTACATTAATTTGAAGATTTAATGTGAAATGATTGCAATATAAAAGTATATTTAAAAACTTTAATGTTAGGTGGGATTAATCGCGATTAATCTAAAAAAAAAAAAAGTGCGATTAATTTTTTAATTTTTTTAATCGATTGACAGCACTAGAAAAAATGCATAATTTTTTGTGCCATAATAGTATAATAATTTTATAATTATTATAGTCATAATTTTGACTTTTTATCTCATAATTATGATTTACCAAACCATGATTTTTTTGTCTTATGTGGCAGAAATGGACTTGCATAGTTTTGTGAGTGTCTGCTGGGAAGCAGTTATTTTGTTGTTGTTTGTTGGGAATCACCTGCGGCAAAACAGAAACTGGAGCCCAAACGCAGAACATCTGTCACCATGGTAACGGCAGCCCATAGACCCAGCTGATGGATGTTGTCAGGCCTTGATTGAAAAAGCGTAGCTGGCAGGAGGAACCGATCCGCGGCCCGGCTCAAATGAGCGTCCCGTCCGCACTGTTTTTCATCCTCTTCTCATTTAGTGCTGGAAATTGATATTTCATCGGGCATGCATCACATTATACAGTAAACAGGCAAACGCGCTCGCTCTGTTTCTCTCTGACCTTTCGTACGCTCTCTATTCCTCCTCAGTGCCGCAACTAAAGCCGCTTTTAGTCCATTTAGATGGCAAACAGAGGAGAGTGATATCGCTCAGATGGTGCTCTTTATGTCTTTGTGACTTATAGTTTTCAGTTATGTTTAACTAAAGTGTTAACTTTGTCTCAGATGTTTTTCTTACAATTGAAAAAGAAATGGAGAAAAAAGCTGAGATAAGAAGTGCTAATTGTGACCAAAAATTATAATAATGGCATAAATTGGCAAAATATTTATATTATGTAAAATTGTTATATAAAAATTCTAACATTTCATAATTATGACTATTTATACAATAATTTTGATATATTATGCCATAATTGTGACTTTTTTTTTTTTTTGTAACAATTAGGACTTTTTATCACAGCTTTATTTATCATAAGCAATTTTAGAAAAAACGTTTAACATAACTCTTAATTTCTATATTTAGACTTTTTACATCATAATTGTGACAAAATAAATTGTAATTATGAAATAAAAAGTCTAAATATGGCATAAAAAATTGACAATTGAAATAAAAAGTCAATTAACTTTCTTAGTCTAAATTCCCAAAATTGTTAATGAGAAATAGCTGAGATAAAAAAGTGAATCGTTGTGAATTGACTTTTTACAAAATATTTTATGATAAATATTATTTATCATAATATTTAATTATTTTTGACATTTTCTTATGACATACAAGTCTAAATATGGCATAAAAGTCTGAATAAATATGGCATAAAAATGATGAGATAAAAAGTTGACATTGAAATAAAATGTCGAAATTATGATATAACTTGTAACTGACAAGAAGTCATATTATGAAATAAAGTCACAATTATGACATAAAAAGTCTAAACATGGCATAAAAAGTACAAATTATGAGCTAAAAATGCATTCCTTTGTCTCTTCCTAAAACTGCTTAAAAGCTGAGATCATTAGATTTTGGCGTATGTGGTGAGAAATGTTTGAGTTCATATTGAGATCTCTGATTGCATACTTTAGTGTTTTGTCTTTATCTGAGCACAGTTTGAGGCATCTTCTCAAAACTCCAGAGGAGACACACATATGAGATTCAGGAGTCTCCATGTTATCTCATTGATGTCTAGGAGAAACAGCTGAGGTTTTAATGAGATATCAGTTGTGCTTGCTTCTTTTCTGCAAGCAAAGCTAGTATAATCAATGATCAGCCGATCAACTAACCTGATTAATCGTCTGCTAATACTAACCTGTTTTATTAACAAAAAGCACAATCATATAAATCACAAAGAAAAAACACATTTGTGTTTTAATCGTGATCACAGTGGCTCTCATTTCAGCCATGATTGTCTGGACTTCCTGTTCCAGGTGCTACGACCCGGAAGCCTGATGCCGTGGAACCCGAGAAACAGACGGATCACACGGTGAAGATCGCCGGCGTCATCGCTGGCATCCTACTCTTCGTCATCATCTTCCTCGGCGTGGTGCTGGTCATGAAGAAACGGTAAGAGAGCTTCACTTCTGTTCAACAATATTTAATCTGATTAACATGAAATTGTGTTTAATTCCTTTAAAGCTGAAGTGTGTCATTTAAGCACCACTGCACTCCCACCATCTGTCAGTCAAATAGATAGCCCCGCCCCCAAACTCACGTCATTGGCTGAGAATGTTTTGGAAGCATCACAGTGTTGATTCAAAGGGCCAATGACTCGCTAATAAAGACTCTGAACATTAAGATACGACAAAGTGGGAAAAATCACTTTCAAGTAATAATTATGCTGTAAAAAGTCGTAATAATGAGATACAAAGTCGAAATTATGACATGAATAGTCAGAAATAAGCAGTACTTGTTAATATGACAAAAAGTTAAATTTATAAGCTTAAAGTCATAATTGTAACATAAAAGTATCAATTATGAGATAAAATGTCATAATGAAAAGTGTCATAATGTCATGACATGAAAAGTCAAAAATGTGACGTACTAAGTATAAAAAGTCATAATTATGAGATGAAAGGTTGAAATTTTGACATGAAAATTTAAATGTATAAGATTAAGTAATAATTTTGACAACGTATAAATTATGGAATAAAGTCATAATTGTGACAAATGAGATAAAAGAAATCAAAATGGTCATGAAAAGACATAAATGAGATAAAAAGTCAAAATTGACATACTAAGCAGTAATTGAGATAAAAAGTTGAAATTATGACAAAAATAGAAATGATGAGATAAAAGTTATAATAAAGAGATAAAGTCATAATAGTGACATAAAAGTATAAATTATTAAATAAAAAAGTCAATTGTGACAAATGAGGTAGAAAGTCAAAATTATGTCATGAAAAGTCAAAAATATGAGATAAGTCAAATAATGAGACAAAAAGAAATTATGACATGAATTTGAAAATGTGAGAAAAGTCAAAATTGACGTACTACACTGAAAAAAAATGATACAATTTTTTTTTAAGGTAAGTGGTTGCAAACAATTTATTTTAGCTACATTAAAAAAAAAAAAGTCAAGTTAGTCAACTAAATTTGTTTAATTAAATGTAGCTAAAATAAATTGATTGCAACCACTTACCTTAAAAAAATTAGTAAGTTCAATGAATAATTTTTTTCAGTGTAAGCAATAATTGAGATAAAAATATGATGACATTATGAGATGTAAAGTCATAATTGTGACATAAAGTGATATAATTTTGAGACAAAAATGTGAAATTAATTTATGCAGCACTGCACTCCCACCGTGTGTCAATCAAACAGGTAGCCCCGCCCCCAAACTCACGTCATTGGTCGAGAATGTTTAGAAAGTGTCAAACTGCCATTGATTCACTTACAGTGACTATGAAGATTAAAATACGAGAAAGTGTTTGAACGTGGGATAAAATGACGCACTTCAGCTTCAGAGAGCTGTTTAGAGCGTTTAGAAGTCTTCCCATGTCATGGTACCATCCGGTGTGCCCATGAACACATGAAAGTCAAATGAATCAATGCTGATTTTCTGTTTTCAAACGGCCCCTTTTGTCAACTGAACACAGAATAATTGATTTGATCGCTCTGATAAGCACCATTACACGGTTTGTGGCACCAATACATGCTGCCTGATGAAATATTAATTTTTTTCTCCCCGCGCTGCTCTCAAACAAACGGCATCGCTTTAATGACCCGGCGACGGGAAATAGCACAAATATTTTCCAAGCTTATCTTGTGCAGAAAAAAGAAAAGAGCGAAATAAAAGCAAGATAAGAGAGAAAAATTGATGAAAGGCGGGGGGTTTTTTTCAAAGAGACGCTCCGGGCGAGTTTACATTAGATCCGTCCTGAGCTGGAGTAAAAGCCCTTGTTCAAACAGCCGACTCCAGTTCTGCTTTAGATTCAGAGCGTGCTTTCAGTGGTTTCAGATGTAAATTGAAGGCAGGGCCAAGTAAATATGTTTTTAATGAGAGTCATTACCTTCTCAGAATAAGGGTATTTGTCTCTATTGATTTTGCTGTTGAGCCTCAAAATGGCCAAACATTTGAAAAGGGATGCCTTCATTTTGCTGACGAGGCGATTTCCGTCAGATCGTTTGTATGTGTCGCCCGGGCCGTTTTTAGCATAACGACCTTGGCATCGCATGTTAAATCTCAGCGTAATTTGATGAGATCCATATCCACTGACATCAGTAATTGTGTCAGGACTGAGTTCACTACAACTAATAAACTTAGAGCGCTAGAACTGCTTCTGCAGCTCGCGTTTGTTGCAGAATTCAAAACCTGAGCCCAAACTCACCAATCTTGCCTGTAAAGAGAGCTAATCACCTGTTTCTGTCCTGTCCTCTCTCTCTCTTCACCCTGTACTAGACCTTTGATGCGAATGAAAATGAAGCTGTGAGAGATTGAAGTGCAGTCTCATTAATGAAACACAAGCTGAATGAATTAGTGTAAATTGTTCTTGCATAAATGATTGCGTTCGATTCAGTGCAAGCTTTTTGTGTGAGAATGTTTGCACAGAATTACTTCTGCTTGAGTTTCATGAATGAGGTCTAGTATTGATCGATATTTGACAAAACATTGAAAAGGTCTGTCTAGAAAACTTCAGGCCTCATTAAAAAAGCACAAGATGAACATTAAGAAAATTAGAAAATTCTTATGTTAATGTTGCATTAAAAAAAGAAGTGCAGTCTCAAAATGCATTTGTGTTCATGCAAATATTTATGCATACACTGTTGCATTAATTTCAGCTAGTGCAACTATTTATGTAAGAATAGTTTAATCAGCAATGTTCTTTTTTTCAAGAATGAGGTGTGATGTACTGTTGTGTTCGATGTAGGTAATTTAGCTGACCAAACATTAATTTTTGTCCTGAAATTAATGTGTTTCTAGACAAATTCAGCAAACCAAAGACTCCAGAAAACATTTTCGAAATTATGAGAGTCAAAATTACAAAATGAGATTATGATTATGAGATAAAAAGTCATAATTATGGCATAAAAAGTAAATTATGAGATTAAAGAAAAATCGAGATTATGATGTACTAAATCATAATTATGAGATAAAGTATGGAGATAAAAACAAAAAAAATCTAAATTATGACATGAAAAGTAGAAAATATGAGATAAAACGTCAAACTATGACATACTAAGCAGAATAATAATTGAGATAAAAGAAAAAAGCAGTGCAGTCTCATTAATGATACACAGTGTAAATGCATGTGTACAAAAAACTAAATTAATAATTCACAAGATTATCACAACATATTTTTGTGTAACTTGATTGTTTAATTTGTTTATTTATTTAAGAACTAAATGGGTTGTTTACTTAAAAATGAATATAAATGTTGCATTTAACATGAGCTGAATAAGTTTGGGTAAATCGTTTGTAAAGCCATTGTTATGCAAGTGAATGCATTATTCAAAATTAATATTTTTTTAAATTTTTATTAACAATTTACAATTAACAAAAAATAATAACGAAAAAACACACCTAAATGTTGAGGTGCAAAGTGATTGTAAAAAACAAGTATAATTGCAAGTATAAATCCAACATTTCTGCCATCAGCCCTTTTCAAGGTATCAATTATAATTCCTTATATCTTAAGAAAGGCTGATGGCTGAAATGTTGGTTTTATAAATAAATAAGCTTAAGAATTTGAGTTATTAGAGTAATCAATTTTTTGAATACCTCACAGTCTTATTTTCATTCGCACTGAATTAACTATGATGTCTGCACTGATGTCTGAGAATACCCTTAATGAGATGTTAATGATATTACTAGCGACAGCCACACCCACACCATAGGCTCCGCCCACAGCTCCGCCTCACATAACACACACACACACACACAGAGGCAAGAACAGACTCACAGTCACTGAAGTAACTCGTCACATGTGTCACCATATCAGGTTTTGTTCATTTCTATATTTTCAGACATTAATATTTTTACTTTTTCTTTCCTTCCATTTTCATTCCCCCTCCACCCTTTCCACCACTGCTTTTGCCCTTCCACCCCACTCGGCAGAAGATCCTATCACTCCTACACTTACTACCTGTAAGTAACCACTTTGTGAAAACTAGTTGCAGTGCTTTCTCTTCCAAACTTCTCTTGATATTCCATGCATGATTCCAAACCCAGTGAGTTCCTTTCCCTCCATGTTTATCTCAGTTCTGTTCTGTTCAGTTCTGCATGAGTCTGTTAAGTGCATGTTAATCACCATCATGTGTTACACACACACACACACACACACACACACGTGATCTCATTAGATAGAAGTTGGATTAAATACTTCAAACATGTACAAACGTCATTAGATACAAAATATCAAATCAAGTGTCAATTATTTTAAATGCAATCAAAAGTTTTTTTGGTTTGACATGATAAAACAATAGATCCAGATTTTGTCATTGTTCATGTTTATAGATATTTGAGACACTTGATCTGATGAAGGACATTTACACATTTATAATTCATATAGTTACATGTAACTTGTATAAATACATGTGGAATATTTGTATCACTTACAGTAAGGTCCCATTAGTTAACTTTATATTTAAATTTGTTACAGTATCTTAACAGATACATCTTTTGATTTTAATAATGTGCATTGAAAAAAAAATGTTGTAGAAACAATTTTAACTCCAAAATTGTTAGTTAATTTCTCAAATAATAACTAAAATGGCAAGTAACACATTGAATTAAACATGAAGTTTAAAGAAGAAAAACTAATATATGTTTTCTAGTAAAACATGCTTCAATAATCAATATTATTTTCCATAACTTCAAAAAAAATATTTTTTACAGTATATTAGTAAATGTTGAATTTAACATTAATTAGTTAATTGGATAGTTAATTTTGAGATATGTTATTCTTGGATTAAAGACTTGTTTGAACATCTGAATCTGAATGTCATTCATTAGATACAAAATATCAAAAACAAGTGTCATTTGTTTAAAATTACACTAAAATATAAGTTTATGCTCATGCATCTTTATTTTTTTTTTTATAAAAAAAAACATTTACAATTTCAAA